TTTTATGAAAATTTATTATGTATCATAATGTCAAACACCTCTAATTCTGTGAAAGATTACCTATAGATATTAGTATTAACAGTCTGGTAATTCCATTCAGATAAATGTTATAAATATCTTATACATAGATATAGAACATGCAAAATTATGAATAACTTTATCATTGAGCAAGGACGTTATAAAAGGCGAGCATAGTCTATCGAAACAACGACTGTGGCACCTGGCTACTATAGACTTACACGCAGAATATATACACATTGACACAAAGGACATCTATCATTTTCTGAAGTCTGGTAACATGGTAACTCATTACACAGCGCAGGTCTGCGGACGGCGCGCATGGGTGGCTCACCGCCCGACCAGAACCAGACCCGAGCGTACGGCGCGTCGCGATCCGCGCGCGCCATAAAGAGCCATCAGACCACCACGGGTGGAGCCCAATAGGGCTGATGCCGATACGGAGCCGCGGAGAACTTAACGGGTTACCGGGGCTCCGGCTCGAAGTGCAGGAGTAGGAACGGGGTGGTTTTTAGTCAGCTCCAGCCTCACCCTGGCAGAAGAAGTCATTCAATAGTAAAACTCATGTTTTGTATGTCAGATGTTTATGAGAATTTACATAAGTATTGACCTACTGGTCTACTAGGCAAGTATAACTGTGTTTCTTTGCCAAGATCTGTTATTTTCACGTCTTTTATGCATAATGGTTGGCGCATTTACTTGTAATCTATAAGTTTGTTGAGAACGAGCATTGAATACCAGAAGCCCTAACAATTTAAATTGTAAATATATATTGAATAGTGAATTCACTTTTTTCTAGTTACAATTTTATCGAGAGCGGTTTTCGCATAGATTTTTTCGAAAAGATAGTTGAAGGTTAGCCGCCAATTTTAACCATCGTTTTGGCTCCTATCCAAATAAAACAACTAGTGAACATACGCGATGCGTGCAATTTTTTCCTCTATTATAAACTATCTAGGTATGATTACGAAACAGTTTGGCATGTATGTATTATAAAATTGTATCGTACACTTCCGAATTATTGATTTAAAAACCATTTTATATTTTGAATTTGACCCTTATTACGGTTATTGTAATTTTTTTAAACGTTGCCCCACGCTGAGTTTTTCTCCTACGTCGTGGGTGCGTTTACAAACATACAAGTTCACATACACATGACACCCAAACCCGCAACAACAATTTGTAGATACAAAGAGTTGTGAATCGAACCCGCGACACGTTGTGCGGCAGCCAGTTGTCCAGCCACCGCACCAACCGTGCAGTCGAGAGCCATGCTTCGGCACGAATGGGCCGGCTCGACTGGAGTGATACCCCCGTCTCAGGAAAACCGACGTGACGTGAAACAACGCTTTCATTATGTTTCATCGTGTGAGTGAGATTACCGGAGGCCCGGATAATTGGGCCCCTCCCCAGTCTCCAAAATCCTCAAATTGCCAATTCCCAAAAGGTCGGTAACTTACTTGTAACGCCTTGGTGTTTCGGGAGTCCATGGGCGGCGCCGATTGCTTACCATCAGGTGATCCTTCGGCTCGTTTACCGGCTTATGCCATAAAAAAATGTAGCATGTAGTATACATGTATACATTTTGACTTACCACTGTGTAAAAAAAGACATTGCTACTTGCAACAATAATATTAGTCTTTTTCTTCTGTTTGCAGTCATTCATGTAAACTATACAATTCGAGTTCCTTCTTCATACTTGGCAAAATTATTATTAGTTCTATTGCTATTAAATTAACTTGTTGGCTTTAGACAATGAATGTTCAACATTACCTAGACATCTGTGACCTAATAACCTAGAAAAATAATAATTTATAATATTCATTCATACCCAGTCGCCGGCCACTTCAATAGATTACTTTGTTATAAACATGTGGTTCTTCAGAAACCAGATGTTATGTTTGTTTCAGTGTATAGGTTATTGTATACTTACTTTTCTAAACACAGCACATCAAAGTACCACAAATAGTTAATATTATTCCATAGATTTTCGACTTTAACACAAAGTAATAGAGTTGAAAATTCGTTGAAGAAACGTGATAGAATAGTATACGTTGAACCCATTTTTGTACAATACAGGTGGTTCCCTTACCATGGATAATTTAAAACAATGGGCCGCTGCTACTTCCTAAGGAATGTTTTCTTTAAATCTATTAATATTGATTTCAAAGAAGTAGGTAAATCTATTTATAAAGATCTTGTTTAATACTTTTCAATTGACACACCATTCGATTTTTTCACACTGCTCGCTTGGGAGCTGTTCGCAAGCGGCCCGTTTGCCGGTGGTAGACGTACCAATAAGTTAATTTTTTTCCGTCTTTTCCATTCCCCTTATGATAATGATTTTTTAAAGAAATTATCAAAATCTGCCAAGAAACGTTACGTCGTGTTAAATCACAATGAATTATTGTTCTTATTTTATTGTTTTTTTCCAAAACAGTCTAAACCAATTAGGTACTTGAATTTCAATAAACCAATGTGCTAAACAAAACTGTATCTTTGTCGATAAGCGAAAACGTATTTACGAACGCAGACTACAAAATCAATGAGTTATGAATTCATATTAAAATATTTGTACTATAACGCCACTGCAAAATGCAGACTCGAGCGTAGTATTCAATTTGCAAAATGCCTCAAAAATACCGCTGGGAACTGTCGCTACAGTAATGCGCAAATAGTTTACATCATTCACATGTTGCCAGTGTGTTATTGTAGTCGCGGAGAACCTAACGGGTAACCGGGGCTCCGGCTCGACGTGCAGGAGAAGGAACGGGGTGGTTTTTAGTCAGTAAGAGTCTGACACTCCCTTCCGCCTCACCCAGGCGGGAGCAGTCATTCGATGATTTTCCCCCCTTAAAAAAAAAAAAAAAAAAAAAGTGTGTTATTGTGTTTGTATTGCTACCTTTAGTGTTTATGTTTAGTGTGTTATGTTTATGACTGCCTCATTGGCTGTGAGGCCAGGGACTGCCGGGCAAGGGGTCTTGGGTTCGATTCCCGGGTCGGGCAAAGTATTACTGGGTTTGTATAAAACCTCAGTAGTAGCACGGAGTCTGGAAATGTGCCCGGTATATGGCAATAGGCTCACCCCTTATTACATGGGACTCATAACATAAATAGTGAAAAGTGGGTGTTACATTGTAGTGGCATAATGTGCACCTCTGCCTACCCCTTCGGGGATAAAAGGCGTGATGTTATGTTATGTTGCCAGTGTGTTATTGTGTTTGTATTCCTACCTTTATTGTTTATGTTTAGGTTTTGTTTACGATGTATAACTTGATATGACTGTCTTTTTACCGACTTCATTAGTTGAGTAGACGGCACGATTGGCGCGGTGACTGGGCAACTGACTGCCGCGCAACGCGTCGCGAGTTCGATTACCACACGGAACAAATCTTTGTGTGATATACAGATTGTTTTTCCGGGTCTGGATGTCATGTGTATGTGAACTTGGATGTTTGTAAACGCACCTACAATACAGGAAAGATCTAAGTGTGGGGCAATTTATATAGCACAAGCCGGTAAACGAGCAGACGGATCACCTGATGGTAAGCAATCGGCGCCGCCCATGGACTTCGAGGATTGTGGAGGACTCAGGGATTCGGAAGACTAGGGAGGGGGGTAATTAGACCTCCGGTAACCTCACTCACACGACGAAACACAACGCAAGCGTTGTTTCATGTTGGTTTTCTGTGAGGCTGTGCTATCACTCCGGTCGAGCAGGCCCATTCGTGCCGAAGCATGGCTCTCCCACACTTAAAAATGCAATGTTTTAAAAAAAAAGAAAGTGTGACATTCATAATCTGGTCTCACCTAGGACACCAAAAATATAGTTATTTATGTTTTCGATTTACGAAATTATGTATCTGTAATGTCAACATCTGGTGATCTGTCTGGTAGTGTTGTATTAAATAAGTCTCATAATTATGAGTACTTACTTCATTTTTTACTTAGGTACACCACCGATCACAGTCGCTGCAATGCAACCATGTATCAATGCTAAACTTCAACAGACAAGTTATTAACCTTATCTACTCATTATTCGCGAAAAACAAGAAACCATTCTGTTTATTTCCAAAAATCCTTAAACTCAAAAGATAGCATGCTTTTAAACAGTACAAGACATCCAAAGACCAAACCGGCGGCTATGCAAATGATCTCCTTTGACAGTCAACCACAAAATGACAATTTGTAGTGCCTAATACAAATAAACTGATAAAGGAAAACTGTCTCATTTAAAACGTTACATTACCTTAGTAATGTGATTACTATGATATGGATTGTCTACTGTCTATCCTGAGGCCTTAGTACTCGTACGGTTTGTACTAAGGCGTTTTACGTTTAAAATAATCGAAACGACACCGCGTTAAACGCTCTGATTGGTTGGTTCATTAGAGCCGGCCAATCAGAGGCCTTAGTACGAGTTTCATTTACGTTTAAAGTATTCGAAACGAGTATGTGTTCGGCACTCTGATTGGCCGGCGCCAAATAACCAACCAATCAGAGGGCCAATCACGAATAACTATCGCATTCGTATCGTAACAGTATCGAGCGAGTTAAGCGTTCTGATTGGTTGGTTCACTTGAGCCGGCCAATCAGAGCGCCGAACGCGCTCGATACTTTTACGTTACGAATGCGATAGTTATTCGTGCTTGGCCCTCTGGAGCACAGGACGCATACTCGTTTCGATTACTTTATACGTAAAGCCAACTCGTACTAAGCTCTCTGTATTGGGTTGCCGAAAGGTAAACTTCTGAATACAATCCGAACTTTAAAGAACAGGGTCCGAGGTCCGAGGTTTAAAGAACAGGAAAAAGAGGAAATATTCTTCGTTTTCATAAATTAAATAGTTTGCGTGATTCACACAATAATAAAAAGTCCCAAAAAAACTTTATTATTCCAAATACTTTTAAGAACTAGTTCCTTTCCACAACGTTGCCGGTCCATTTTGACCTGTTTTAGGCCCTTTAAAGTACTCTTTACCCTCAATAGTGTTGCGGACCTTGTGGTGGTTGCTGCGGCGGTTCCTGCAGTGGTTGCTCTTGCCCATGCATCATGTATGCTACACTTGCTGCATGAAGATTTGCTAGTCGCACACGAGATTTTGCGCGGACAAGCCATGGTGTCTGCGTCGAAATCGGCGCTTGATAGTCTTCCAAGTCGATCCGTGCTATTTTGTGGAAATAAACTACTATAAATAAAACATTTTATCACAATTTCACTTACAAGAAAAATGGTTACTGAGCGTTAGTTGAATTAGATAGAAAAGTCGTTATAGAATTACTTTATTGAATGTCAGTGTCAAATTTTTCCATTGACTCAATTAGATTAATGTCTATGTCGTTTGGTTCACACCACTGATCAGGTAAATGCTCAATATTAATAACCTAATTCATTACGCAATAATATTCAAATATTGAGCAATAATAATCAAATTATTTTATCTATTTATGTATCTGCATTGTAAATCTGGGAAGAGATAAAAATACTTACTGACTTAGCGCCTAGACTCATAACGTAACTGACCCTTTGTGGACTGGATTAATGTGTGTGTGGACTTGAAGAAACGTGAGGTATTATTATGATAACAAAATGTTTTAAACTAGTTTTGTACTTCCCACAAATCCTATGACATCATGCTCATTAGAGACAATAGTTACAATTAATTTGATGCTCTTTTTTCCTACATCCGTGAATTACAAAATAACCACATATGTAGGTAGGTACCTACTTATCCTGTGTTTACATATGACATAAAGTCAAAGTCAAAGTCAAAGTCAAAATCATTTATTTCAATTAGGCCAGAATGGCACTTTTGAACGTCAACAAAAACAAAAATTTAAAGTGAAGCTATTTGCTCATTCCAAGGCGTAGATTCCTATGGAGAAGAACGAGCAAGAAACTCCATAGGTTACTCTTTTTCAATCAGGTTCACAATACAATTTACTAGTTACATAGTTTTGCTGTTTGGATTGTGCGAGAACAATGTAACACTAAAATCCAGTCAAAGTGATCAAAAAAGAAAATAACCTTAAGGACAGTAATACAGTCTGGAGCTGACCAGTCCCAGTTGACGGCGCCCGTTCACGAACATGACACGTACACCAGCACCGCCCAACTCAACCATATTGTAGGGAATTGAGCGATCCACTGCACGCGCCACCGCCAATGAGACCTTTGAGTGAGCATGACAACTCCAAGCTGACACAAATGAAATCTACTAATCTACTTTAATATTAAGTTAATTACAGGGCTCTCACATTTACAATGCTTATCTAAGTTAAACAATATACAATTTAGCAATATGGCTGTATTATTTACGATTTCATTAAAACAAGTGTTTTTAGTTATCCTGTGGAGCCGGACTAGCCTGCATCCAAGCATTTTTATCCTCTATATATTCATTAAGTTTGTAATATGCTTGTCTACATAAAGTTTTCTTTATACATAATTTAAATTTCGATTCATTTAGTTGTTGTACATCGCCTGGTATCTTATTATAACATTTAACACAGAATCCCATGAACGACTTACTTACTTTCGCTAATCTCGAAATTGGCTGACTTAATCTATTCTTATGTCTAGTTTGATAGTGGTGTCTGTCCGACACTTTACCAAATAACTGTAGGTTTTTCCTAACATACATAATGTTTTCATAAATAAATTGACATGGAACGGTCATAATGTTGATCTCCTTAAACCTTTCTCTGAGTGATTCGCGACGACCTAGATTGTAGATAGCTCTGACGGCGCGCTTTTGTAAGATAAAGATAGATTCAATGTCAGCAGCGTGTCCCCACAGCAAGATGCCATACGACATAATGCTATGAAAGTAACTGAAATACACTAGTCTTGCCGTGTCTATGTCAGTTAACTGTCGTATCTTCCAGACAGCATAAGCTGCAGAGCTCAATCGTCCCGCTAATGATGTAATGTGAGGACCCCATTGCAATTTGTCGTCTACAGTAATTCCCAGGAAAGTTGTCTCTTTTACAAACTCTAATTTCTCACCATTCAATAATATGTCACAATCGTTGCTTTTAACATTTGGCAAAACAAATTTAATACATTTTGTCTTTTTATTGTTTAGTACTAAGTTATTTAATGTAAACCAATTATGAACTTTCATTAGGGCATTATTTACGTCGTCATAACTATTTGTGCGTCTATTAATTTTAAAAACTAATGAAGTGTCATCAGCAAATAATACCATCTGCGGTTCATTTTTAAATAAATGGGGCAAGTCATTTATGTACGCTAAAAATAAGAATGGACCTAGTATCGAGCCCTGCGGTACACCCATAGATATGCTAGCACCCTGTGAATTTACTTTATTTACTTGTACTTTAAGTTGCCTATCCTGAAGGTATGATTTCAACAGATTTAGCGACGTCCCCCGAATGCCGTAGTGTTTCAGCTTCAGCAATAGTGTCTCATGCTCAACACAGTCGAATGCCTTCGAAAGATCACAAAATATGCCGATGGCATCCCGTGCTTCTTCCCAAGAGGCGAACACCCGCTTAATTAGAGCTACTCCCGCGTCAGTAGTGCAGCGACCTTTGGTGAATCCGTATTGTTGATCATGAAAAATAGAATTCATGTTAAAGTGACGCAACATCTGAGAAAGCATCAGCCTTTCAAACACTTTGCTGAGCGCTGGCAAAATAGAGACCGGCCTATAGTTATTGGGTTCTGCACTATCACCGGATTTAAACAATGGAACTACTTTACTATGTTTCATTAAATCCGGGAAAACTCCGTGATCTACACTTTTATTAAAAATAAACGCTAAATGAGGCGCTATAGTCTCTATAAAAGATCTACACACTCTAACAGACATGCCCCAGAGATCTTCAGTAGACTTAACTTTGATCTCTTTGAACGCTTTAATTACTGCTTGGGGGTTTGTGTATTGAAATCGAAACTCAGAAAGGCACTCATTGATATTACTTTTAAGAAGTTCAACGGAAAGAGTCGGAGATGATTTCAATGCTTCCGTAGTTTTAATCGGAATATTTTTAAAGAAACTTTCAAATTCCTGTGCAACTTTATAATTTGAATTGATACGTCCATTCGCAGTATTTAGATTAAATTCAGCACTACGTGATTTATTTCTACCTGTCTCGTCATTAATTATATTCCAGGTAGTTTTTATTTTATTTTCTGCAGTCTTAATTTTATTAGTAATGTAAAGTGCTTTAGCCTGCTTACAAACTAATTTAAACGTTTTTGAATATTTGGAGACATAAATGTGAAAAGCCTCACTATGATTAAATGGTTTCATACCGTAAAGCTCAAATAACCTTTCCCTACTTATGCGTATACCTGGTGTAGCCCAGTCACAGAATACCAACTTGCATTGAATGTTTTTGCGTTTTACAGGGAATAATTTATCAAATTGAGTTTTAATAATTGACAATAGGTTGGCGTAAATCTCACTCGGGTATTCACTATCATGTATTTGACCGCATAAATCATTTTTTAAATTATGATTTAATGACTCAATTTTTTTATTTGAGATCTGTCTAAACATAATTTCACTTTTTTGAACAGTTGTGATGGTGTTAAAGCTAACTGTCAGCCCACTGTGATCAGATGATAATTTATTAACAACATCTTTATGTAAATAATCACAGTTACAAAAAATATTATCTATACATGTTGCCGTGGTGGATGTTATACGGGTGGGCTCAAGGAAAACATTAGATAAATCAAAAGATTTGAAGAGACTTAATAAGTTAGTACAAATAGAGTTATTTTCCAAGAGATCAACATTAAAATCGCCACATACTATGGTACATTTACTACTAGAACACGTTTTGTGCAGTACATCTTCCATTATGGAGCTAAAACTATTAAAATTTTGTGACATAGGAGGTCTATAAACACAGATTACAATATGCTTATCCAGCTCAACACAGGACAACTCTATTGTGTGCTCTATTGACAATAATGTAATATCTTGTCTTTCTTTATATTTCACTGAATTGTTAACTAAAATTAGGCTACCACCATGTATCATTGTTTGACGGCTAAAATAGTTTCCAACACAATAGTTTTTAAAATTTATAGATTCTACTTGATAATCCTTCAGCCAATGTTCAGTAATACAAACAATATCATAATTAAATTTTTCTAAAAATAATTCAATTTCTAGAGATTTTGATGAAAAGCCCTGCATATTTTGATTAAACAATGTTAACAACTTTTCTTGTTTATTCTTCTTATGTACTACTTTCATAGATTTAGACTTATATATACTGCCAGAAGATACCTTAACAATGCATGGAACATTTGTAACATTTAATTGTTTATCCTCTGTTGTCTTATTATTTAGTTTAAAAAGTTATCCAGAGTACCCACATTTGTCATCAAATCATGAGTCTCTTTCGTACTATCATAATAAGTACAGCTAATCTCTATATTATTAGATTGTCTATATAATATAGATCCGTCACTTAAACTATTATAAACTAAATTAATACTATTTGCTAGCAAACTAGCAAGTAAAACTTTACATTTTCTAGGAATAAACATGTATTCCTTGGTCAAATTAAAACCACTAACAATTAAATTAACAACATAAATTAAGTACTTCATTATTCTGTTTACGTAACATTTCTCTTATAATATATTTCCTGTTTTTATACAAACAAGCTGCGTTTTATGTTCATTAAGACCTATTTTTTGTATTCTATCTCTAACTGCTTACTGGGTGCTTCCAATCAGTACTTTTGGTTCGTCTCTGGGAGATATTCTCGGTTCCTTTTGGTCGTAGCGTGATGTCCTTCTATCAAACATAAAAAGGACTTTTCAAATCGAACCATTAGTTCCAGAGATTAGTTTGTTTATGGCATAAGCTGGTATACGACCAGACGGATCACCTGATGGTAAGCAATCGTCGCCGCCCTTGGACACCTGAAACACCCAAGGCGTTAAAAGTAAGTTACCGGCCTTTTGGGAATTGGGAATTTGAGGATTGTGGAGAATTCGGGTATTGGGGAGACTGGGGAGGGGCCCAATTACTCCGGCCTCCAGTAACCTCACTCACACAACGAAAGTGTTGTTTCACGTCGGTTTTCCTAAGGCCGTGGTATCAATCCGGTCGAGCCGGCCCATTCGTGCCGAAGCATGGCTCTCCCACACTTTGTGTGTTCAAACAAACTAATCAGCTTTATCTATCTAATATCAATAAGAAAAATATATAAGATTTTCCAGTAATAGTCTTCCATTTTTACTTTAATAGAAATCATATAACAATAAAAAAATTGTTGCAATTCTATTTGTTGTTATATATATATTTGTCGTTATCAAGTTAAGACGTAATTACAAATATGTAATAGGAACTCCTATGTTATGTTATTTTATGTTATGAGTATACCTCTAATTGTGACATAGATTATTTTATTATGTTATTGCGGACCATCTCCCAACTCCAACACTGCAGCAATACATTGTGAGAAGACTTGCATCTAACCATCTCACAGAGATCTTAAGTCGGTTAGCGATAAAGTTTGTCCATTGAGCCGGGCCCGCAACATGGTTGTAAGGAGACGATGCAATTTAATTATTGCTTCAAAGGCAGTCCGCCGATATGCTGACTATGGAAACCAAGTTCAGCATCTCTGACTATCTTAGACTTAGACCATAGACTATCTAGACTTACAATGATGTTAGTTAGGCAATGGCTGGTATTTGGAACTTGTCTGTTGTTGTGTTTGTATTGCATGCTTAGGTATTTAGGTATTTAAGTCCTAACATGCATACAACCCTAGATAACCCAATATGCTGATTATTAATTTATAGATTAATTGAAAATGTAAGAAAAAAAATTAAAACTCAATTAATATATGAAAAACAAAATGCAACTAAATAAACTTTTTGTCCTGTTACTAATGGATCGTCATTACATGATGAATATTATAGCCCTATATTTAGAATAATTTAGAATACTATTATAGATGTTAGGGTTGTCGCAAAAATTGTGAATAAAAAATTAAGAAACCAAAATTATACGGTGTTCTTTAATAGGGGAAGGCGAGAGGAAGTGTCAGACTCTTACTGACTAAAAACCACTCTGTTCCTGCTCCTGCCCTTCGAGCCGGAGCTCGGGCAACCAGTCAAGCCTTCCGTGACTCCGTATCGGGCATCAGCTATACTGGGTCCCATCTGTGGTGGTCTGACGACTCTCTGAAGCGCGCGCGGAACGCGACGCGCCGTACGTACGGGAAAATTATACTGTACCATTAATATTTAGTATAAAAAGTCATAAATTGGAAAACATTCGAAAATCTATCAGTTCTTAATGAAGTTAATTCTAAATTCGTTTTATGTTTCTGGTTCTGGAGCCCTAACAACTAGTCTGGTCTATGCTCCCACTACTGGTCGGCTCCTATTTTTATATTTTCAAATACATTTTATATTTTTAGAGAATTTTAAAATATGAGAATTTAACTATGACATCACTGATAGCCCTATCAAACTAGATCGTTTACATAAACCTTGCAGTTCCGTGGTACCACTAGCGCTGCCAAGCGGCCGGACTGGGAGGCTTGTGACAGATATTTTTATGTGCGGAAGCACTTGGCTCAGTTTATTACGGAACTACCCCACTGTGCCGCCGTCTTCGTGACGTCTCGTATTCATAGGAAAAACTTTACGAACAAACGACTTTCGTTTCTTTTTTGTACTTATTTTAGCTGGGTAATAATAGAATTGTGACATGTAGTCGTTTTTTATCTGTAGATTTTATTACCAAGGTATCCAAAATTGACATGCCCAACTTTAGTACAAAAATATAAGGATAAAAATTCAACTGTTTGGCTTAATAGTACCATGATGAGCTGGCATCGGTGCATCGATAATAGCATTAAATTATTTAACTAAAATGCAGCAGCTGGAACAACTCAGTAAAAATAGTGTTTGAAAAAAATTGAAACAATATAATGTCTAAAATAAAATCCAAAAATAGATATTAAAATGTTTATTAAAAATACGTATAACAATGTTCATTAAAATAATTAATTCAATCTGATTTTACCACTTCCTCTAGCGAACTAGCATACATATAAATTCACTTGCATTGCAGTTTTGTGCTAATAACAAATAATATCAAAGCATTAACGACATTATTTCTTTGAAATAAAGCTCATAATACTTAAAGTTGTGCTAGACTAACAGTGTCAAAGCAGATATTAATAGAAATGTGCTGAACACAGTATAAAAACATACATAATCTCAAAATACTTCGTCTTATAGACGATTAAAAGGATATACAATTTTAGAAAAAAAAAACAATTATAAAATAATCTGTTCTAAATAATGCTCCTGGAGTACCTTGAACATTATGTTTATCAATAATATAAAATTAAATGTATTCACTTTAATCAGATATGATATCGTTAACAACAATTTCGATAACGAAATCTTGAACAACGTTCTCTTGATATTTTTATCGCTGTTATTGATAAATTTCAGGGTGTGTGTTTCGTATTAATAGAAAAATCGGTGCCAACAAACGAATTACGTATACTCTGAAGTATCAACAATTTGTGGTAGGCGTAGAAACACGTACGCTCTTCTATTAGTAGCTTATATCGACAATTTAGAAGACGAACGCTTTCATACTAAACAAAAACCCGAGTTGTCTTATAACTTCAACTCAAACATCTTTTAAATCATCGATAATAAAACTTATATAGAAAAATGTGCGGCACACGACATTTGAACATTTGCAGGCACTAGGTATATTTATACATATACACATAAAAGACAAAATACACGAATACATGCATTGACCGCCTTGACGTTTAATTCATATTCCCCCATTCTACTCTCCCAAGATCTATATTCGCAATGCAAAGGGGTCTCGGTCATATGGAACACTTTGAACTTTCATAAGTACAAAATACGGTAAATATTCGCTTATACGGTACTTAATAGTAAGAAAAGGTATGAAGGTAGATTCTTGGTGACTATCGCTGGTAGGTACCGAGGTAGGAATTGCAGTTGGGACAATAGTGGTCGGCATTCTGGCAGGAGTCCACACAGTAGGGGACGCACACACAAGGCCAGCAACTGTAACAAACAAACGTATAGTGTTAAAACTATGTGAATATACATTGGGAACACTCTTACAAATCAGTCAATTACAATGGGTTTTTTTTATTTTTATTTTTTTAAGGGGGGAAAATCATCGAATGACTGCTCCCGCCTGGGTGAGGCGGGAGGTAGTGTCAGACTCTTACTGACTAAAAACCACCCCGTTCCTTCTCCTGCACGTCGAGCCGGAGCCCTGGTTAGGTTCTCCGCGACTCCGAATCGGCATCGGCCCTATTGGGCACCATCTGTTTTTTTTTACGGTGGGTAGGGTTTCTCTGAAATGGTATATGACTATAAACTACAAACTTTTCCGTGTAAAATCAGTTATACACAGCTAGTTCTTTTTGTTCTGTGTGTTAGTCGAGTGGTTACAATTACCTACAGTTTCCGAGAATGATACTGAGTTATATTTTTGGTCGGAGGTTATTGAGCCTGTCTTTTAATAAAAAAATGTTATAGCATGCAGGACACAATATTACCTAAAATCAGATAACATTGTCTATTAACCTCTTGTCTTTCGATATATGAGATACAATAGAAAATATGTTATGTCGCGTTAACTTAGACAATTCATAGGTTAAAATAAGAAAGTAAGCACAGTGGAAAAACAAATGTTACATAAAATACGTCATCGCAAACAAAGGAGTGTTGTTAAATGTTTTAAAAAATATATCGATTTCATAGTTTTCCATTATAGAGGTATATATATTACCTAACCTTTATATATATAAATATATACGTAACCATATGTTTGGTGATAACATTTATCATTTGTTATCTACACCTGACCATTTTATATCGATCAAATATTTATGTAGGCCATAAAACTGAGTTCCTTGTTCGTTCAATATACAATACATCAAATTGAAATGTAGTTAGTAGTAATTAAATTTATATTAACTTATCGTAATTTAATTTATATGCCATAAACACAGTACAGTTTTGAATCACAAGTTATGTTAGGCACATTACGACTGCACGGTTGCCGCGGTGGCTGGGCAACCGGCTGCCGCGCAGCGTGCAGCGGGTTTGATTCCCGCATGGAGCAACCCTTGCACGTGCTACCAGTGTTCTGGCTGGCAGCATTGCCACGTTAAATGGCAATTTCTTTATAAACTAAATGAGCTTTGGAAGCCCATAGTCCAAGTGTTTTGACCCTAAACGGCTTAAAACAGTAGTATAAAAATAGTGTATTGAAATAAATCATAATATTTGTATTATAACTTTCGTGAGACATACTAAATTAATTATTATGTTTTCGGCTTACTCGCGTAATTATTTGACAAGGAGCTCGACTAATATGCTACTCAGTAGCAGCGCGATAGTCGCCGCGTCGCGGGTCGCGGAATGCTGCTCATAAATATGAGCCTGTAGCATGGCTTGAAACTAGTCGAGTTCCTCGTCAAATAATAAGTAAGCCGAAAACATAATAATTTAATCATAATATATTCTAACTCATCCAGGGAAAACACAGTCAATGTTAGATAGGTATAAAACCTAATGATAAAATAATTATCGCCCGACCTTGGGTACGACCGGACTCAACGTCCTATAAGTATTTCCGTTGGATTTAGGAAATGTATTTTAAACTAAAAATAATAACTGTTTTAAAATGAGACTCGTAACTGACAGTTTTATTTTCGGTATAAAACTCTGACCTAATATAAAAAGAGATCTTTTAAGAGATCTTTTTAGATCTTTAAAGAGTTAGATCATCAATTTATAAAGATTATAGAACATTCTCTTATACCTTAGGAGACCCAAAAGCTAATATTAGGCTATTATAAGATATATGAAATGCACGAAATCAATGAAATAGGTATGTGTAATAATAATTACATCGAATATGGCAAACATATAGCAAAAATCCTTGAATCAGAAAAACAAATTATTCTATTGAGTTAGTCGACCAATATGTTGATGTCCTCTAAAGGAAGATACAGACCTAAAGAACTTTTTAATTTAACTATGCCACTGTAGTCTCATAAAATAGGCAATATAATAACTACATACAATCGTATATATGCCGCAAATTTTATACATAACAAACACGTGCAGCGCATTAGAAAGTGTCGTTCCCAGTAGAAACCTTGAGCATTAGCTATTATTTTCACCACGCTATAGAGTTGAGCTATTAATGGCCGTACTACGCGTGACGACATGCCATTTACATTATTAGTTTACAACGACATAACATGGATATACATGAACACAGCTCTGTGCTTTGGCTAGGCACAAACAAGCTCTAGAGGTCCCAAATCGTCCCCAACTTCATAATAATATGATCATTGCATTGTCATGGAGTTATCTAAATTATTCAGCTTTGATATTAGTATTTCATGTAGACTATAAGTTCAGTGTATTATTTCAAAAAGGTCATTTAACTTTAAAAGACTGTCGAAGAAAGATACCGCAATAAGCGAAAGTGAACGTAACCTATGCACAAAGATAGGCATGGACTAGACTAACAAAGCACAACATAGGTATGTATAATGTTAATCCCCAAGAGATTAATTTGGGGATTTTATATATACCCATCTCTTCTAACATTATTATTAGTACATTAGATCTTACTGAACATAAACAAAACATTAAACATGAAATAAATAAAACCATTTTCTTGCATTATGTCCTATTTACAATACAAATTAGGCCCGAATGCCATATAGTATTCTTTTAAAACAATTAAAATTGGTCGTCAATTTATCAGTTATGTATGTATGTATAAAAAAATAACTATGTATTGTTTCCCAACATATAGTTGTCGTGTTAACGATCTGATATGGTGGTGTATGTACTTATATATATATGTTGTGTTGTCAGTGTTAGACGAAGGTCAGGCCAGTGAATACCGGCACGTCAATAGCCTGGTACTATGGGCACGAATGTTAAAACTGGTTTGTGTACAATCTATGCTCATATTATAAGGAGGAAACATTTCTGAATGTCTGTAATATTTTGATACAAAATCGACTGTACCAATTTCAAAAATTCTTTTGCCATACGAAAGCTGTACCTATCTTTACTAAACACCAAAAAAAAACAAAAAAAAAGCTGCATAATGTATAAATTAACTACCTATGTTGCTAATCCACGCAGATGAATTCGAGAGCAAAATGGACTAGTGTTTAATATAATGATAAATAATGAATATGACATTTCAGATACTACAATAATATGTTCTGAGGAAATTCCTTTTCCTTATTCCTTAGTCAAAAGTAAACTAATCTAACCTATCTTTTCCGTTCAATATATTCAAATAGTAAAACTTCTATCCATTGATATAATTTATAATATGATTCGTTTTTGTTATTTTTTCCTAGAAACAAATATGGAAAATACGTTTGCAATTTTAAGCAATCACAATTACATCATCGACCTTGGATCTCCTAAGTAATGTATAGAATGATAGATGTATTTCAATTCATCTCAAACTGTTTTAAACATATTATAGAAGAAATAATTGCTAAGTTGACTAGCTGTGAATACCCCTGTTAGTAACAGACGTTCCGTACAGGGTGTCTTTAATAATTTAACATATTCTTAGAGAGTATTTAAAACATTGCATTGCAAAGAAACTGATTCACTTGAACAATTTACTTTTCAATAAAACAAATTAAAGTCACACAATGGTGGTTTTAACATCACAAAAGATATAAAACAATGGTCGTCTCTAGGTCAGGTCAAGTTCAATAGACTGTTGTTAATATCTTGTCTCGTTAGATACGTGACTGATATATCTTTATACCTCACTAGTTGGCGCTAGTGTGCCGTTTGATCGTCCACAAACATAATTTTAGTAAGTAATTTCATTAATGATGATCGGATATAGATATAAGTTTATACTAACAACTTGAGATAAAATCTTTAAACATTTAGACTGTTATCGAGAGTTTTTCCTAATATTTTATTGTTGTCCAATAAATAAGACTTATATATTATAATTTATAACATATTCACAAAACTATTTTAGCTAGTTTTCCGTAAACACGACGCTAAATATGTCACCAAAATTTTCGAACGTTTCGTAACCCACACAAAAGAACTTAATATGGAATGTTCTAATTGTCCAACAGCCAATGATGTAACCGTTTAAAATAGCTGCAATTCTCATATATAGATTAAAAGCCAGACTTTGGCGTAATCACCAAATGTATGTGTTACTCGTATGATACTGAAAATACCTAAATGTTTGCAATAAAAACATATTTTAGTGTTTCACGATGCAGTGTTGATATTTTTAGTTGCTAGCTGCTGAACCCAGTAGTTGTCATTCTTGATTATAAATAGAAATATATATGTTTGCTGCTTTCAGATTCAGATTAACATTTCTGACGTTTTAATTTTAATTTTTTTAATACTAGAGATAGCGAAATATATATATATCATCACGCCTTTTATCCCCGAAGGGGTAGGAAGAGGTGTACATTATACCACTGTACAATGTAACACCCACTTTTTACTATTTATGTTATGAGTCCCATGTAATAGGGGGTGAGCCTATTGCCATATACTGGGCACAATTTCAGACTCCGTGCTACTACTGTGATTTTTTTTAAACTTTGTTATACCTCTACTTTGCCCTACCCGGGAATCGAACCCAAAACCGCACTGGTGACCACTCGGCCAACGGCAGTCTTTATATATATATATACTAAACTAAATATATATAAATATATAACTAAAAAATAAAATGTTTAAGGTTAACCGAAAACAAACACGTTTCTTCCTGCCCACAAGAAAATGTACCTAACTATGAGCAAGATAGGCGTCATATTTCAGTGGTCAATGTTATGTCATACAGGTCATATGCCTTGAGATATTTCCGTCATATTCAGTCTTTCACTTTCCTTTGACTAATGCTGATGTAATATCTATGTAATTGTGCATACAGAAGAATAAAGGCGAATATGGCAAAAATATATACCTGAGGTACATATTGTAAATACAGAACAACTCCGTTGTGTTTAAAGTTCTTAATATATGTTCCATCCTATGTAAAAAATCTAATACATATTGTATATAAAAATGTAAACGAACAAAAATACCTGTCTCTAATATCAAGCTTCGAAACTTAAAGAAAATGCAATTCAAAAATCAGCATCTTGCTAGGAATGAATGAATGAATACTGCATTTTACGAAAGATATTCTCAGAACCTAATACAAAACAAGTTTTCTGTTCGTTTGTTTGGCTTCTGTATAAAATTAGCGTCGCAGTAAATATTGTTATCACACGAAACTGTTTGGATTGAGATAACAAATTAAGTACATAAATGGAGATATGGGAAGCTCTAGGTAATAACGAGAATATGTTGTATGCTTGTACCTGCTGTAATTGTAATTTTACAGAAATTTTATCATGACCACACTCATAGTACACTTTTAGTGCATTCAAAACCTATCTCAGTTAGTATACAGTTGCAAATCAATCACTCATGGGGAAATGATGATGACGTAATTGGACCTCCGGTATCCTCTCTCACACGACGAAACACAACGCAAGCGTTGCTTCACGTCAGTTTCCTGTTAGGCCGTAATATCACTTCGGTCGAGGTGGTATATTCGTACCGAAGCATGGCTCTCCCACACTTAAATGTATTACGAATTGTGTAATACTACTCCAACTGTATTACTATTTTTCTCCGAAATGTTTTGATATTGATACTCTTTATAGTACCTACACACATTTAATTATTTACTAAAGTCTACTCATACTAATACGCAAGCCTATCACTGAAAATTGACTAAAAATAGAAACACAAAAGAAACTAAAATATCAAAACATTTTTATAGCAAATGGTCAAACGTAGATAGATCAACTACATATATATTACCAAATTAAACTATTAGAGCAGCATTTTCTATTCTCAGTCTCAAATCTGAACTTTAAAACTGAATGCACAGAGCTGAATTTCTAAAAAATGTATACTTACAGGAACAAACACAGAAGAAGGGCGATGACGTGAGTCTTCGTCGTGGACTTCCTCTCGACCCTTGTGACGATCGTGGCTCGGCACGATGGGCATGTGATCTGGGAGGGTTCAGGTCCAACTTGTACGATGTTCATGTTGATTTTCTGTAAAGAAATAAAAAGGAAATTGACTAATTGGGATTTTTATTATTACATTATGATAACTATTGTTTCTCTACTACTGTATAGAAGAAGACTTTTCGATAGTATGGCAATGATAGCCATAATGTTTGATCTTATTTCAGTTGTGTCTCCAGAGTAAATTCGCTGGCCCAGAGCAAGTTAACACCCTAAACATAGGTGCGATTACGAAGCTAAGTTGGCACCGAAGTTCCTTGTCCGCGGTCAAGTCAATAATTCAATCATTACTTCCTTACTAACTAATATTATAAATCGGAAAGTGAGTTTGTTTGTTTCGATTTCACGCCGTAAATACTAAACTGATTGCTTTGAATTTTTGCAGACGCAAAGTTAGAAGTCTGGATTAAATAATAGAGTACCTTTTATCCCGGAAAAATTTGATATTCCCGAGGGAAAACAAAAGTATTGGTATAGATGGCGCTGTATGTATTGGTATATGTCACATAAGCTACTTTTTATCCTTTTGTGACGCGAGCGAACCCGCGGGTAAAAGCTAGTTTCGATATAATTCAAAAATTTACAACCTAACTTATCGTATGTGCATAACTTCAGTAAAACACTATCAGTACTATAAATTCTTTAATTATCCAATAGGGGAATGCCCGTCTTTACGTCACGTTTTGTAAAAATTTAATGCGGGTCAAGACTAATCCAATATAATCCAATTTAGCATTTAACTCCTTATCAGTTATATAACGTCATCTTTATTAGAAGTACGAGTGTAATTTTGTGATAAGATAATTTGGTCACTTATATCTCTTAGTAAATGTGCAGTTTTCATTTTATTTATTGTAGGCTGCATCGCTTTTTTATTGATAATAAGTGGGCACTCGGCCGCTATCTCGCCTGATTGTAAGTGACGATGTGGCCTATGATGGAGCACGCCTGCACATAAGCAACCTACTGACTCGAGGCTTAGATTAGGCCTTGAGTCTTTAAGTACAACTTGGGCATCTACCCAGGTTGTACTCACTCAACTCAAACTCACAACAACTCAACACAGACACAGAAAAAGAAGTCTACTCCTTAGCAAACTGCTAAAGAAGCTTGAATCGAAACGCTTCATGCGAGTGGGTGCAATATCCACCATAAAGGTGGCACTTTATCTTAAGCAAAATGATTTCATATTTAGGTGAAGATAGCCAAGAGTGGTCTACTGTATCTCATCGGTTTCAATTTCAGAATAGAAAAAAAAGTATTGAACATTTTTGTACTTTTCAGTACTAAAACAAAGTTGGAACTGGGACTCTGATTTCTCTATGATATCCGACGAAAATAAATGCTCTATTATTACGGTATTTGAACTGAACTGTCAAAAACGTCAGTTTTCTGTGAATTTTGTATAAGATTGTGAATTGTAACGTCACGTTATTTTGCCGTCACACAGCGTACTTATTTCCTAAAAATTTGCTGGAAAAGTACTAAAATTAAGTTAAAATCAATTAATAAGAGTGTGATTATTGTATTGAACAGTCGAAATTATTTATTTCTGATTAAGGAAAGTACCCATTTATATATTATATATCATTTATCATAGGAAAATCCGAACACAAATAACAAATTTAGGATAATAATGGTTATATAAGTAATTAACTAAACAAGGAAGGAAGATCTGATAGAAACTGTAGTTCCACTGTACGATCCTTCCTTGTTCAGCTTGCATCGTATTTACACATCTGTTCAAACAACGTCGGTTAAACTGTCAAACACCAAGCGGTCACCGGTGACCGCGACCTATTGTTCTTTAATTGTGTCTATAAAACCGGTACTCGACGAGTTAATAGGAAAATTGTCTAATTAAACACAAATGAGCAAAGAGTTATTTCCTGTGTAATGATATCCTACATAGATAACTACATAACATGATTATTTGAAATAATTAATACTAATTAATATTATAAATGGACTAGCTGATCCGACAAACTCCGTATCGCCTAAAGTTTTTTTCTCACCTATTAGGCCTTCCCTGGCCTTTTTCTAACAATTCAAGATTAGCCAAATTGGTTTAGCCGTTCTCAACTTTAAGTGAGACTTTAAATTGTTAAAACTATTAAACTGTCTGACTACCGTACTCATTGTCTGGGTGCACCAAGGTGACCTTAAATTTTGCTCATTGTAATGTTTTTATGTAAACTAATATGTAATTGTGTTGGTTGAGATTAGACAGTTTAACAAAAACTTCTTTAGAGACAATTTCTATTCAATACAAGTGAAGAGGAAAATAAGAAATACTATATATTTTTTAGATATCAGTATCAGTTTTAATAGAAATTTATTTCTTACCACTTCTTAATCACACTTATTTAACCTGTTTAACTATCATGCTCTAAATTTATTCATACAAAAGTAGTCTCTAAACATCGGAAATAAGGTCTATAATGTAGTTAGTGGAGAACGGTCACCGGTATCCGCTTGGGGATAAACTTGAGTTTCATATTTTCTGAAACTATTTTATTCTTAAAAGAAGTGCTGAACTATTGCTTCGCGTCCCGAACCATTACTTCAATACGTGGGCGGCGTTAACTGCTTACTATCAAGTGACACGTCTGCTTGATAGCCTTTGATTCCATAAAACACTTATTTAAAGTGAAGCACGCTAGGTATTGAGTTAATTATTATAAGGAAAATGTTAGACCATCATCGAGACAGGTAAATAAGACAGGAAGATATTCTTTTAGAAAAATATATTATTTTCCTTATAAACGACAAAATAGTCGAATGATATTCAATTCAGAACAAGTTACTTCTTTTTTACTCATTTCAAAAATTAGCGTATGTATTAAGTATCTCAAGAGTTTGCAATTTCAGTATATTAAATATTTCGGGTATGAGTCAAAACGGAAATTTCAGATAAGACTCTTTTATCGTAAACTATTACAAAAACACCGGAGGTTACGTCATGATATTATGTATGTTTATAATATTTCTCTCTATACAGAGCTATGACTGACAAACATCATTGACTGACTAAGGAGTAACTAAGTCGGTTTCCTGAACGTTCAATCACTTCATACAATCCATTTTATTTACCCTTGAGATTCGTTGAATAGAAAATTCGACCTAGTAAGTATATAAAAAATGAGTATAATCATAGATACTAATCCGTAAAAAACTACAATCAATAATTGGTCTATCTACAAACAGATGGAGTTTAGCTATTATTAATACTTCAGTTTATTTTATCAAAACATATAATTATCTGACGGCGGTGAGGTAAGTGAACTTCTTTCTACCCAGCCCTTTAGAAAACATCAGCCATAATACTATGAAAGTATAATGAATTGATCATTGTGTTTTTATCATATCTGGCCGGAAAACCCCTGAGTCTAATCACCAGCGACTACGAGATGCTATCCGTCCGGCGAGTAATCACATCATGAATAAACCACTGACTGATAAAGTTATTAGTCATACTTCTCTATTTATTTTCAAGTACATTGTACAAGTTATAAAAGAAATTTTGTTTCCTGATTTCCTTTTTGCTACTAAAGACATGCCAGTCACATTTGCACCTACAAATACTAGGAGGCTATCTAAATTTTTTTGAGATATGCTTCGAACGAATTTTAAACTAGATTATAAACCATTTTAACGCCTCAAAAGGATGATATCAATGAATCTAATTAATATATGATTATTTTTCCCGCAAACAGGTTTATCGCAATCTAGGATTTTATTGAATAAATACGTTACTTTTCTTTCTACTTACTTTTTAAAACGTTCCACATCAGTATAAAATAAAATTGTGTATTATATTATGTCAAGTGTGGGAGAGCCATGCTTCGGCACGAATAGGCCGTCTCGACCGGAGTGATACCACGGCCTCATAGAAAACCGACGTGAAGCAACGCTTGCGTTGTGTTTCGTCGTGTGAGTGAGGTTACCGGAGGCCCAATTACCCTCCCCTTCCCCAATTTCCCCAATTCCTGAATTCCCAACGATCCTCAAACTCCTAATTCACGCACTTGTAACGCCTCTGGTGTTCCAGGTGTCAATGGGCGACGCCGATTGCTTACCATCAGGTGATCCGTCCGCTCGTTTACCGGCTTATGCCATAAAAAATGTCCACAATCATTATACGTGATTCTACATTATAAGTTAAAATTTTATACTTGACGTAACTAAAGTAAACATTCATTTCCGCTTCAGTTTTTAGTGCACTGTATTGACGTGACTAAACAAACTATTTTGACCTTGAAAACATTCGTGAATTAAACAAGTCGTTTTTATTCACACAATTTACAACTGAATTATACTCTCACAGTTTATGTTTATGGGTGCTAGTCTTCCATTACATAATATAACATCACGCCTTTTTATCCCCGAAAGGGTAGGCAGAGGTGCACATTATAGAACTTAATGCCACTGTACAATGTAACACCCACTTTTCACTACTTATGTTATGAGCCCCATGTATTAGGGGGTGAGCCTATTGCCATATACCGGGCACATTCCATACTGAGATTTTTTTTAAAACCTAGCCCGGCAGCCGCTCTTGCGACCTCTCGACCAACGAGGCCGTCCCGCTACTCTTCCATTTTATGCCATAAAAGCTGTTTAAGGAACTAGGCAATGGACTGGGATCGGATAGCAGCGCTCTCTGATAAACCTGAACTTTTTAATTTAAATATTCAAACAGTCTGCGAACTCTTTTATGTAAAAGAGGCATCTAGTTCAGTAGAAGACTATCATGGTTGGTTCACGTTGATGTCAACTTTAACAAAAATTGAGTTGATGTTATGAGACATAAACCTGTGTTCTTAATGATTCTCATAAATGAAACTCGATCCCATACTTTATAATAGTTGCTTTAAATTTCAAAAAGTAAAAAATCTACGGCTTCTTTAACGTATAATATAAATAGAACCTACGAAGAAATCACCCTGTGTGTTGTGAGCTTTTCCCTATGATACTTTTAAGGCTTGTTCGTAGTAAAGTACATACAACGATGACGTCACTAGTGAGGGGAAACTGTAATATGACGTCATGCCATCCAATTCAATTAACTGCGACTAGTGACTGTTGTTTCTCTATATTTATTTCAACCTTAATTATGTTTAAATTGTTGGCACAATTATTTAAAAAGAACTAGTTTTTACACGTGATTCGGACCATGTGCCGTTGTATTTATAAACTTTATTAATAGATTCAAGTTTTTGTTGTGATATAATTAATTTGTAAAGTTCATATCTATTTTATTTAGTAGATTCGGCAAAGCAATTTCAATGTTAACTGATATTATGTACTCTAAACACAACGCAAGCATTGTCACGTCGATTTTCTATGAAGCCATGGTATCACTCCGGTCGAGCCGGCCCATTCGTGCCAAAGCATGGTTCTCCCACACTTAATATTATGTTACTGTTTAATATAATATTATTTTACATTACATATTATAATATTATGTTACTACATCATTACTTTACAAAAAGAATAATCTTAACATCTTACACAAACATTACTTCTAACCTAAAAATATGTATTAAATATTTTTCATTAACTAAATAACGAGCCTAATGGAACAGTTCCATTAAAATTCCATTTTCCATCCGAGATCCATTCATAACGATAAAAGTAGAACATTACTAAAATTAAGTAACAATAGTCCAAGACTGTAGATACTTTAATATGTACTATATTTCTAAGGAGTTTGGAAACATATATATTATGTAAACTCACACCTTTACTCAAGAAGGGTAGGCAGAAACCCTTTAATCCCTCTATGTAAACTATGACACTTTACCTACATCTACGCTAAATACTTCCGCATCCACTTTCACACGCTCTGCTCGGCTCCTATTGATCGTATGATCGTAGCGTGATGTTTCATAGCCTATAGTCTTCCTCAATAAATACACTATCCAGCACAAAAATATTTTTTTAAATCGGACCAGCACTTCCCGAGATAAGCGCGTTCAAATAAACAAACTCTTCAGATTTATATACTGTTATATAGAGGTAATATAACTAGCGACCAGCCCCGGCTTCGTACGGGTGCAATATGCATGTATTATACATATAAAGCTTCCTTAAAAATCACTCTATCTATTAAAAAAATCGCATCAAAATTCGTTGCGTAGTTTTAAAGATCTAAGCATACATAGGGATAGACAGACGGCGGATAGTATATGTGGTGATAGATAGTAAGCTTACTCTTATTATCTCATTATTATTATATTACGTTATCTCGTGAATTTACATTCACTGACTACATAAATCTTAAAAGTCAGTTATTTGTTTGTTTAAATTGTAACCTCTAGAAGTACGTGCCCCATCAAAAATCATCATCTTGTACTCATATAGAAACTTATAAATTAGTTATATATAAGTATACCTATATATTAGAAGGAAATACACAACTAATCTAAACATACTTTTATTACAAATCTTAACAACCGGTCCTCTAAAAGTTCCAAGAAATGGAATGTTTGTAGGTATCTACATCTTTTCTAAGTACAAGTGTACCAACTACCTAGTTATTAACAACATTATATACAAACATCAGTCAGTGATTTTCGACTTACTGTCAAAACAGTAAAGTTGAAAATACAATACAGGAATTTGACAGGAAGGGGCGAGTTCATTTGCTAGAATCTGTACTTGGAATAATAATAATGTATGCTGTTGACAACACAACGATCATTAACTGTCATGGCGTCCATAGGTACCGGGTGACTTGTCAATGGTAACTAAAAAATAACATAACATCACGCCTTTTATCCCCGAAGGGGTTGGCAGAGGTGCACATTATGCCACAGTACAATGTAACACCCACTTTTCACTATTTATGTTATGAGTTTCTTGTAATAGGGAGTGAGCCGAATACCTTATATCGATCACAATTCCAGACTCCGTGTTACTACTGAGATTTTTTTTAAACCCAGTAATATTTTGCCCGACCCGGCAATCGAACCCAAGCCCCTTGCTTGGCAGTCGCACTTGCGACCACTCGGCTATCGGCAACTAAAAAATATAGCTACTACAGGTACACGTGTGACCTGTATGTGTCAATGACCTCACGAAGGTCCCAAGGTGATGGTTTAAAATCAATTAGTAACGGTGTTTGAAAGAAACGTGTATCCAAAGGCTTACAAATTGAACCGAAAACTTTCCGTATCACATACGGTTAAAGTCAAAGAGGTAATGATTTAATAAAAAATGCTTCCACATTTCTCTCGGACTGCCTCGATGGCCGAGTGGTCGCAAGTGCGACTGCCGGGCAAGGGGTCTCGGGTTCGATTCCCGGGTCGGGCAAAGTATTACTGGATTTTTAAAAAAAAAATCTCAGTAGTAGCACGGAGTCTGGAAATGTGCCTGGTATATGGCAATAGGCTCACCCCCTATTACATGGGACTCATAACATAAACAGTGAAAAGTGGGTGTTACTTCTGTGTGCACCTCTGCCTACCCCTTCGGGGATAAAAGACGTGATGTTATGATGTTATGTTATGCTTCCACATTTTGAATTAGACTGTTAGGTGACAGTAAAGTAACTTTTATTTGTCGAAGATTATGTCAGTCTGTCATTTAAAGAATATTTCCAAGAATGTGAACTACAATCCTAAATCCTAGCATATGGAATGGATTTTTTACACAAACATCGACATTTGCAATCGCATAAGACACGCTCAAATGTTTGCATCTCTAAAAAAAATATCGGGTTGTTGTCGCTAAAGTACTCTAAATAAATGAATTGCTCCACACTCAATTTCCTCTAGTTAGACAAAAAATTTAATGCTGTGATCAGACCTAAACCAACTAGAATAACATCAGCGATAAAATTATCAAAATAAACTTTCTAATTCCTGGTATTCGACCAATATAACACTTATGCTGCTCGGAATAGCACGCAAGAAAGATATTTATTATTATTATCATTTTTGACGGTAAACGTCAAAAATGATAATGATAATAAATATCTTTCCAACAGAAAAATGTAGATAATTGTGTTTTGATACTATACCTACGTAGATATAAAAGTATCTACGTCACGATTACACTAGAAGGTTGAAGAGTCTGGTTTTTGCTGGGTATTTTAATCGGTATTCGACGGCGTCTGGCATGCCTATGTTATGTACGAACCTGTAGCTATAACACGTGTATCAAACACATTAGGTATATTTTAGAATACATAAACGATATCGCATCTAGTTATATACAGCTATTGATCCCTGATTGTCCAACAAAAGAACATTTTTGTATCAGAGTAGTGACGGCACTCGTGGCCTTGAGCTGCTTTAAGTCGAGTTAGTAACATGTCGGTACGTTAATTTCATATATTTTAATCACTTACCGGCACTCCTGACTAACTAATAAATTACACAAAATTATTGCTTAAAATTTAACGCACTTCAACCTTTCATAAAGTCGATAATTCTAATAGAACATTCACTAGGAACAACATTTACGAAACCGTCTACAAAAAATTACTTAACAGACGAACGCAAGATGCAATAGCCTCGAACATTTCCGTAAATAACACTCGGTAAGAAGTTATTTATATAAAAAAGAATAGTAGACACATAAAAAACTAATAACTAATTCAACAGTTGGTATGTAAAACTAGGTAATATAAACACACACTTACCTATAAAACCAAGAACACAACAGAAATTACACTTGTTTGATAACAAAATGGTGCGGGTAGCCTCTGGCAATATCAACACGCAACTGAGTGCCCACCAGCTCAGCACACTATAGTCGGCTGAGCACGATTCATTTCATTAGTACTTACAACCAAAGTGAGTCATCGGTTACAATCGGCACACACTAGGCGAAATTATCGCCCACGCTCGAATTTTTATCAAATTGAAGTCTTTATGAATTGGTGAAAAAGTGATCTAAGAAATTATTTCAATGTCATAGCCAATGAGTAACTCGTATAGTGTGTATAGACTATACAGTACATTGGTAAATATAAACAACTTACCTGTTGCATTGTATTTTGTACTACATCGTGAAATTGCCCTAATTTTAGTAGGCTGTATGATATTTGGGCTGTTGATAGCTTTTTCTTTTTGCAAAACTGAACTAAGGACGATTAGAATTTAAAGCACTTGTTTTCAATTGCAACACCCAGTTTTCACAGCCATATTTCTGCAAACATGTTACTAATATTTCAAACCATTGACTAAGAATAATAATTATTATTTTATTTATAAAAATGTATAAGAATTATTCTGTCCTCCTTTAGTTCATAATATAAAGTATAAAGTCTGCGTGGTAAGGACTCATTCTTTTTCCTATAATTCTTTCTTTTATTATCAAAACGACACGTCTCTATATAAATCAGAATACCGGGTTCGTTGATATTAAACTTACTGGAATTCTTAGTCAATTAATTATGAAAGTTATTAACCTTATTTCTTTAGTAGAAAGTACCTGCTGTTATTTGTAAAACTTGATTAAATCTTACCGATAACCCATTTCATTGGAATATTAATTTTCATTTTAATTAATTGTACTGAATGAGTTTTATTATGTTACAGTAGTACCTATTTTGTTTAATTTCATGAAATTTATATTGTGTTACATGCTTTTACCCGTCGTGTGTCTAAACGTGGATCCACGCGAGACACAATGTATTTTCTATTGTGTCTTGTATACAGGTATTCAAGTGGTTAAAAGTTGTTCGTTTTTTAAATAATTATAAAGCAATTAGGTGACACGTTCACACGTGTAGTGTGTAACGGCCTTGTCACATTTAATGTGTTTTCATAGATAAAAAAAGTCAAATAAATTTGAAAGAAGAACGTATGTGTGGTTCGTCGTACGTCGCGTCGTGTCTATTCGGTGTGACCAGACTGCTCCTCAGTACCTACCTATAGAGTATAGACTATAGATGACGTAATTCCTAGTTTCCTAATTTACTTTGATGCTAACAAACCAAAGCTATTTGTAGCTCATAGATCATGGCTGGGTTGATACCTATCGATTCAGAATTATTTAACGATTGCTATCGTAATATTACGAGTATTATTGTCTAACCTTCGGTTGTTTTTTCTCGGTTGACTAAAACTAGTTTTTCATAATGATCATTACTATTGTTAAGATACTTAGTATTGATATTAATGGATAGTAGTGAACCTGACTAAATGAACAAATATTTTCTAACAATGGTATGTATATTAAAACTGGTTCTTTATTAAAACATAATTGTGTACTTAACAAAACCTAAACAAAGTATTTTTTTTTTATTTGACGGGTCGATGTTTGTCCAGTAAATAGGTTGTTTAAGGGTCGGCAAGACGCATGCAATGCCCCAAGTGTTGCAAGCGTACATAGGCCACGGTAACCGCTTACCATCAGGTGGGCTAGCCTGTATTTTTTGCCACCGTCGTGGTTTAATAAATAAAACAATATCTTGCCTGGTGTTTTCTCATTCTCAGTAGTAGCACGGAGTCTGGAATTGTGCCCAGTAATCCCAGTATATGGCAATAGGCTCACCCACTATAACATGGGACTCATAACATAAATAGTGAAAAGTAGATGTTACATTGTAGTGGTATAATGTGCACCTCTGCATATCCGTTTGGGGATAAAAGGCGTGATGTTATACCTTGCCTGGTAGTAAGCGATGATGATTTTTAATTAGGTACCTATGCAAATACTTCCAGATACGATAATCACTTCAATAAACAAACTCAATGTCATTTAGTACCTACATTAAAATACCAAATCTATTCTGTGATTAATACCATCTGAAAAATAATCTCCGATAAGGTTTTAAATGAAAACGGTAATAAATGGGAATCCCTAGACCGGATTTGCCTGGCAAACAATACATAAATGAAGATTACAAATAAGATCTAGAACAACGAAGCCCAATATATCGCGTGACTAAGGGCCCCATATCATTGTTAAATATCGACGAAAAGTAATCAGATTATTGTTCAAACGAGACATATAAATAATTCTTAACAATTCTCGATTTACTAAAATACTCGGTAATGGTACCTACGAAATTGACCTGATTAAACTGCCCAGTCCCCAAGCTGTCAACGATGATCGCTCTCTACTTACTCCATTATTCTTTCTTAGACCTTATTTCCGATATTTAGAGACTACCTTTGTATGATACGGTGTTTTATTTAATACGGTCAGAGGTTAAACATTGCCATACAACGTGGCAATGCTGCCAGCCTTCCCCATTGACGTCGATGCGGACGAATTTTTCGATGCTTTATGTAAATAGTTATTTTTAAATATTTTTTACTTTAAGCTATATAAATTTAATTTAGTAATAGTTAGTTTTAATTTTATTTAAGTTTTTATTGGAATAAATGATTAAACCATAGTATGTAACCACCTTTGTATGAACAAATGTTGTGGATTATTTATTATAGGGGATTAAGAAGAGGGTTAACCCACTATTATAAGCAAACTCATAACTTAAGGACTACTGTCCACGTTGCGTCATTTGACGAATGCATACATTTTTCACCAACAATAGACAGGTTTAACGTCGCCGTTTCGTTGAGAGTATTCATTATTACTAAGCAAGATGCAATCATATTGTTTGTGAAGGAAGCATCCATTTGTCGTGACGTGGACAGTGTCCCTTACTGTCCAAAAGCAGAAGCTAATATTTTATAAGTACATCTCTTCGTAGACCAAAAAAAAAGCGTACTGCTACATACAAATAAAATCAAAATGAACTATGTACCTAAGGTCCCATTTCACTTATTTGTCTTACAAAAACAAATCATTAGGTACCTAAGCCAATACATCAAACAGGTCAGAATGACGCATGGCATGACACAAGATAAACAGCACAGCTAAGGGTAGGGAACTACGCACCTATTGTGACGTCACTGTTCACTCATCCGCGCCTGCGTCCAAATCCGAGGTCAAGGTTAAAAACAAGGAAATGTTTCGTCCATTATTTAGTTTTTACACAACTGTCCAAAAAAGAGTGTTATGTTTTTTTCTTAGTCAGTTTCTAGGAAGAAATCTGCGTGATTGTTCATTGTAGTCTATACAAATATTATAAAGAGGAAAGGTTTGATTTTTTGTTTGTTTGTTTGTTTGTATGAATTGAATAGGCTCCGAAACTACTTGGCAGATTTGAAAAATTCTTTCACTGTTGGAAAGCTACATTATTCCTGAGTGACATAGGCTATATTTCACTTTAAAAAAAAATAGGCATCCTTACTAAAATTACGATAACGTAATCCAAGGTGTGAAAAAAATATCAAAAAACTACCTTACATCGCGTGCGCTGCGAAAACTATTGATGATAGAACAAAATGATATACTACATTTTTTTAGAACACACCATTATCTACAATAAAATCAGCGACAGCATATCTCTAACTATTACAGTCATGTCACAATAAGCGTTTTTTTATTGAAAAAAAGAAATTAAAATACCACCGCTACAAAAAGCTCTTTATTTTTACCTTGGTATTAACCCTTATCAAAATAAATGATGTATTATTTAAGACTGCTTCAATATCTTTATATTACTTTTTGAATTATTCGATTCTGACAATCCATTCAAGAGATATCACGAGTTAAAAAAAATTAAAAAATAAGTGATTTCGGATTACCATCATCAGTTTGTACAGAAAGCAATGCAGCAGAGACTATGACTCATCGCTATGATACAAATAATTTGACCGCTTTTGTCAATGAAAACCTGCCAAAGTTAGTCCCAGATCAACGACATGCTTTTGAAACTATAGTCGATAGCGTCATTCATGACAAAAGAAAAGTTTTCTTTTTGGATGCACCTGGTGGAACGGGAAAGACGTTTCTTGCAAATTTGATACTTGCTAAGATAAGACAATCAGGGAAGATAGAAATAGCAGTTACTTCCTCAGGAATTGCTGCAACTCTCTTGAAGGATGGCAAAACTGCTCATTCTACTTTTAAACTTCCACTATCCGTCAATCTTGAACAACAATCTACATGTTCCATCCGCAAAAATGGACCTATTGGTAAATTACTACAAGACGCCTCATAGATTATGTGGGACGAATGCACGATGAGCCATAGAGCACATATAGAGGCCGTGAACAGAACCTTACAGGATCTAAGGAACTCCTCTGCAGTCATGGGCGGGATTACTTTTGTATTTGCTGGAGATTTTCGACAGACTCTCCCCGTTATTAACAGAGGCACGCGAGCAGATATCATCAAGGCATGCTTGAAATCATCCCCCTTATGGACTACGATTGAAACATTAAAATTAAGGACAAATATGAGAGCTCATCTTCATGGAATCACTGATAGCGATTTCCCACAGCAACTGCTATAACTTGGGGAAGGAATTTTTCCAACTCCAAAGCGGTCATTGTGACATTCTTCTGGATGAGTCTCTAGGCCAAATACTCCATAATTTGGAAAATTTAATAGATTCTGTATACCCTGATATCGAGAATTTGCACGAAAGAGACTTCCATTGGCTGTGTTCTCGGGCTATAGTATCACCTAAGAATGATACTGTCAATGAAATAAACAATCTGATTGTTCAAAAAGTCCCCGGCCAAACAAAAACATACAAATCGATCGACACTGTAACGAATATTGAAGATGCAGTCCATTATCCACAGGAATTTTTAAATTCGTTGAACCCTTCTGGACTGCCACCCCATGAATTGACGTTAAAAATCGGAATCCCAATCATGCTTTTAAGAAATTGAAACCCTCCGAGCATGTGTAATGGGACGAGGCTGCTTATTAAGGAGTTAAAGGACAATTTAATAGTAGCAACTATTATCACTGGCCCAGCAGGTGGTCAACTAGCTCATATACCGAGGATACCGATGATCCCAACTGATCTGCCAATCCCATTTAAACGGCTTCAATTTCCGGTAAAAACATCTTTCGCATTAACAATTAACAAGTCCCAAGGCCAAACCTTCGAATTAGTAGGGATCGATCTGCGAAAGAAATGTTTTACTCATGGTCAACTGTATGTTGGTCTATCGCGAG